TTTGCGCTCTCCTCTTTCACCCTCATTAAAAGGTTCTTTAATTCCTCCTCACTTTCTGCCATCAAGGTTGTGTCATCTGCATATCTGAGGTTGTTGATATTTCTTCCAGCAATCTTAATTCCGGCTTGGGATTCTTCCAGCCCAGCCTTTTGCATGATGAATTCTGCATATAAGTTAAATAAGCAGGGAGACAATATACAGCCTTGCCGTACTCCTTTCCCAATTTTGAACCAATCAGTTGTTCCATATCCAGTTCTAACTGTAGCTTCTTGTCCCACATAGAGATTTCTCAGAAGGCAGATGAGGTGATCAGGCACTCCCATTTCTTTAAGAACTTGCCATAGTTTGCTGTGGTCGACACAGTCAAAGGCTTTTGCATAGTCAGTGAAGCAGAAGTAGATGTCTTTCTGGAACTCTCTAGCTTTCTCCATAATCCAGCGCATGTTTGCAATTTGGTCTCTGGTTCCTCTGCCCCTTCGAAATCCAGCTTGCACTTCTGGGAGTTCTCGGTCCACATACTGCTTAAGCCTGCCTTGTAGAATTTTAAGCATAACCTTGCTAGCGTGTGAAATGAGTGCAATTGTGCGGTAGTTGGAGCATTCTTTGGCACTTCCCTTCTTTGGGATTGGGATGTAGACTGATGTTCTCCAATCCTCTGGCCACTGCTGAGTTTTCCAAATTTGCTGGCAAATTTACCTGGACCTGCAGGTAGATCAGGCCAAAGGCCCGTCTCACAGTGGCCAACTAGCTGCCTCCAGGAACCCAAACACAGTAGCTATCAACCCACTTGTTATTCACATAAATGGATACTTTCTCGGACAGCGGAAGGAGAACAAGTTCATCCTGGCTAGTAGCCATCAACAGTCTTATTCTCTATGAATCCTTATCCCCTGTCTTAACTTTGTAAATTGACACCAATTTTAACGTGCAGCGTCTAAGTTGCAGCTGCAGTCTCTCAAGTTGGAGATGACTTTGTTTAACCCCATACCTTGTTTCACTTACTATGAAGTCCCCACTGAGAGGGGACTTTGCTCCCTTTCTCTCCCTCATTAGATCTTTTATTAATACATAATTTGGTTTAGAGCCAGAATTACAAATTCTTTAGTGTCTGCCTGACCTCAGACAGCAGTAGCCAGTCTTAATGAATGTTGGTGTTTCATTACTGCAATAAATGTAGATTTTAAGAGAAGTTTTATGCGTCTCCCTGCCGCACCACAATGTAAGTCGGCTATTAGTATTTTAAACTAATACATTTCAAGTGCTTTTCTTTTCCATGGACACCACGGACTGACCCAGAGCTCTCACAGGCAGATGATAAATCTTACAAGTATCTCCCAAATATACGTTCGGTTTACTTGGACCTCCATATTTAGCTAAAAGCCATGAGCAAGTTCATCCAGCTCCTCTCCATTTTAACTGTTTATCCTGGAGGGCCAAACTACACAATGTCATAAATATATGGCTGACACTGACCCACATTTGCTGTGTCTCCTGAGAAATGCTTATAGACTACCCTGTTGCAATCAGCTTTCTCTCCTCACCCCCAGTTCCACTTCAGAGGCTGCCTCTTGTGGGGACTCAGCTGGGAGAGAAAACTGTTGAATACAATGGCATCAAATTGTGCATTTTCTTCACTCAAATGTTACCAAGGGGATGGCAGAGGTGCTTATGGTGACATCTGATTTGGCCCAGAATCATACAAAGGGAATGGCCTTTCGCTGCATAATCTTTTGATGCAGTGTCACATGATGAAGATCGCATCTGATGTGAGTCTTGTGGGACAAACGCCCTGCTTGCCCTGACACACCACAGCCTCAAAAGACTGAGGCTGCCCAGTACTTTGAAGACTTATCTGCTGTGAGTTCTGTGGGGCCTTTTCTGCTGTGGCTCCCATCTGTGGAATGCTCTCTCCAAGGAGGCTTATCTGACGCCTTCATTTTATACCTTTAGGTACCAGGCAAAAATGTTCCCTTTTAACCAGGTCTTTGGCTGATTGACATCTGATACCCTTTCAAATTTGTTGTGGAATGGGGGGGTATTGGGTTGTTGTTGTTGTTGTTGTTGTTGTTGTTGTACCCTTTCAAATTTGTTGTGGAATGGGGAGGTTATCGGGTTGTCCTTGTTTTTGTTTTTGTTGTTGTTGTTATGTATTCTGTGTTTTTTGCATTGTAATTTTATGTTGTGAACCGCCTTGAGATTTACGGGTATAGAGTGGTATGCAAAATAAATACAGTGGTACCTCGGGTTAAGAACTTAATTCGTCCTGGAGATCCGTTCTTAACCTGAAACTGTTCTTAACCTGAGGTACCACTTTAGCTAATGGGGCCTCCCGCTGCCACTGTTCTCGTCCTGAAGCAAAGTTCTTAACCTGAGGAGCTATTTCTAAGTTAGCAGAGTCCATAACCTGAAGCGTCTGTAACCCGAGGTACCACTGTAAAGAAATAGGTAGGTAGGTAGGTAGGTAGGTAGGTAGGCAGGGCAAGGCAAGGCAAGGCAAGGCAAGAATAGCAAGGCTTTGAGTTGCATTGCCACCAGGCAGGAAACTGAAAATGCTTAGCACTGTTCCACTTGCACCTTCCTTCCTTCAGGTCCAACTGTTCACACTGGATTCAGTGCAATCTGGACTCGGAGACTGCTTAACGCCATGAGCAGGCTAGTCTTGCCTTCTACGTTCTTGGGACAGTGATTAAAGAAGCCAAACCGTATCCTCTTCCAGCATGGCTTGGTGCTGAACCTGCAGAGATCCTACCAAGGACACTGGGCAGAGAACATTCCTCTCTATTTTTTCCTCCCTCAGCAACGGTCCAACTTCTTAGTGGGGCCTTAGAAAAAAGATTGATGCAGAGGTTATTAGCAGCCGGAGCCCTCCTGAACCTCTGCATCAAATATTTAACAGCCAGAGAATTAGAAAGCAGCTCTCCAGACTCCAGTGCGCAGAGTTGATAGCCTTCCTTCCCAGACACTGCACATCTTGCTCTCCTGGAGATTGATCTTGTGTCCTGGGATCAACGCTCGCGCTTGAGGTTATGATTACGCTAATTGCTCCTTGTCCTACTTTCCTCCCCGCCCCCCGCCCCGCCCTTCAACCTCCTAACCCTCCATGTATGTGGAGAACTATCACATAAATATATGCAACTGAGTTGGTGGTGTAATCAAAACTCTGGCTGCAGAAACTGTGCGGCTGGACTTCAGGGCGACAGGTTCGCGAACTACAGAGTGTGGTGCGGCAAGGGAGAAATGATACCTTATTTTTTTCTCAGCAGTTAATTCCCGCTCATGCAGAGACTCCATAAACACTTTCTAAGTTCTCCAAAGCTTGGTCCATTCCTGAGTGAACTGTCGGCCCCTTTCCATGACCCAGAAGCAACCTACCAGGTGCTTTTCTTGTGCCATGTTTATTTTATTTATCAAACGTGTGATTCTCAAAGAATTTCAAGGCACAGCACAGTAAGTTCAGAATAAAACAGCTCAAGAAGTACATTCAGCAATGAAAGGCACCATTGGCACATAGCACAACATAGGCGGGATCTGCTAAGTTTGCATGGGAAGGAGCGGTCTGCATTTGGCACATACAATTTACTACTACTGCTACTACTAAGCACTTCTGTAACATTTTATAGTGTTAATCCAGCTAGATCACAGTATTGTCTACACAGATTGGCAGCAGTTCTCCAGGGTTTCAGACAAGGACCATTCTAAACCCTACCTGGAGACACCAGAGATTGAGCCTGAGATCCTTGCCAGGCAAAGCACATCCTTCGATCATTGAGCTATGGCCCCTTTGAGCTCAAAATGGTCAGGATTGTTAACAGCAACAACAACAACAACAACAGTATTAAATTGCACTAATTTGTTGCCTTTTCCACAAAAAGCAACCCAACACAATTTACAAAACAGTGTAAAAGCAGTATGAAATTAGAACAACAACAACAAAAACATACAAACACACCATACTTATTCAAAAGGTAGGTCTAACCCAGGGGTCAGCAAACTTTTTCAGCGGGGGGCTGGTCCACTGTCCCTCAGACCTTGTGAGGGGCCGGACCATATTTTGAAAAAAATTAAAAATGAACGAATTCCTATGCCCCACAAATAACCCAGAGATGCATTTTAAATAAAAGGACACATTCTACTCATGTAAAAACACGCTGATTCCCGGACTGTCCGCGGGCTGGATTTAGAAGGCGATTGGGCCTGATCCAACCCCCAGGCCTTAGTTTGCCTACCCATGGTCTAACCTCTCCCAACTGGAAGAAGCCACAAAAATCTAAAGTCCTCCAAATTAAGGGACAAAAACCCAGGTAAAAAGGAATGTTTTTGACTGCTTCACATCCTTACAACAACCTCATAAAGCTGATCAGTATTATTGAGCTGAGGTGCCTTCTTTCTGGTGGGCCCCTAGTTACAAAAACCATGTGTATGTATTGATTATTATTTTTATTAATATAATTCAATTTATATCCTGTCTTTCCCAAAGGAGTCCAGGGCTCCCTTTTCTTTTCATTTCATTTGCTTGGACTTTGAACTGAATGGTGATTCATTTTAACCACCGCTCTTAAATTTTACTGCGGCTCTTCACATTTTATTCCGGTTTTATGCTTCTCCTATTTATCATTTTATTTGGATTTTACACTGTGTTAATAATGGCGTGGGTCTTTTTTTGCAAGCCTCTTTGAGAATTTTTATCACACTCAAAGGACCTAACCTGCATTTAGCAAAGGCAGTCGGAAGGAAACTGGTGTTTGTGTGTAACAGGGAGCTGGCACCTACGGCTTGTGCTCTCCCCATCCCCTGCAACCTGGCCGCTTTCCAGAGCTTGTGTTTTGATATCATTGCATTGTGCATTTATCTGTCCTGCCAACATCAGTCAGTGCAGCAGAAAGAGGAACACAGGAATCTGCATAAGGCTGGGTCTTAGCATTGTACATAATGGCTGGTAGCAGTTCTCTACTGAAATCAGTTCTCTACTGATTTCAGGCAGGGGAATTCCCAGCCCTTCCTAGAGAGGCCAGGGATTGAACCTTGGACCTTCTGCATTCAAAGCAGATGTCCTTCCACTGAGCAAAGGCCCTTCTCAAACACAGGAAGCTGCCTTATATGCTCTAGCACCCAGCGATGGCTTTTTCACAACTTGTGGAAACTAGCTACGTTTTACAAAAGGGACTGGAGAGAACTGGACATGGGGATTTACTGGTGTAATAAACAAAAATCTGCCCTTATTCCCTTGTGGGGAACACAAGAGCCCTTATAAAGTCCTTTGTAGGTTCTCCATCAGTCGGAGCAAGAGGCCAACCAGAGAATATTGATAAGCAAAGCAGCTCATAAGCCTGATCTTTATTGAACTGTTGCAACAGGGTGCCCCCTTCACACGCTGGAGAAGGAGGAAGACCCCAAACAAAGATGTGCCCACTCTTATATAGACATTTTAAAATGCCCAAAGTCCAAGACCACCCCCAGAAACATCATACATACATCACAGAAGGGGTGTAGCTCAAGACCACCCCCCAGATACATCATACCTACATCACAGAAAGGGCAGTCTGCAACAGAAATCTGAGTGCATTGTTTATCTCCTGTCTGGCAGACCTGTTAATAGTCACTTGATTGGATACCCTGGGGAGCCTGGCCAGTCTTTTGTAATGACAAATACTTAGTTCCTGAGCCAGGTCACAGGCTCACCCTATTCATAGACAGACATACCCTTAAGACAGGATTTGTGAACAAAAAGACAATGGGGAGGCTTTTCCATTTTCCTTCGACCTTGCAGAGCAATATTTGAGGTCAATTTGCGAGGGACAAAATGGTTTCAGGACTTTTTCTGGGGGGTTTCAGACATGTGGTTTATATATGCAGTTATGAATATTTATCTTTTATATACATATATAAGACCTTAAATTTTTTATTTCACTGGCTTCCCTGAAACACCCGATTGGCTACCCAACCAGGTGGGAAACAAAACTCTGAACTAGATGGACCTTTGTTATGGTCCAGCAGGGATCTTCCAATATTCTTACGGATTCCTGTTCTGGTGGGAGATTCATGCAGCACATAAAAGCAAGTGCTATCCAAAACCACACGTGCTCTGGTCGAAGAGTTGGACACGACTAAACAACATCAACATCCAAAAGCAACATCTCTCATTATACTTTCTTGTCAGGGACTGGCAGGCTCACTGTTGGCGAGTGTGCACCAGGGCCAGGGGGGCTGGAGTCTGACTCAGGGCAGTGGTTTGTGGGGGCCTGTTCAGCCAGGAGGCAAGATTCAGGCAGGGGAAGCTTCAGAGTTGGAGGACGGAAGGAGAGGAGGAAGTGAAGGGCTTCCCCACCCTCTCCTGCACTACTGGCTCACAGAACCAGGAGGTGACTGAAAAAGGATGAACAGAAGAAGTTTCCACACAGGCGCAGTCTCCGGCTGCATGCATGCAGACCATCAGAGGGAGGTACATTAACTGGTGGAGGGGGAGTGGTCCCCTGTTACAGCAACTGTTCCATACAGCGCTGACCTGGGAATAGCAGCCTAGTTGTTAGATTGGTATGCGTAGATTTCCAGAGATGTAGAAGCAATTGTTAAGTGTTATCTTGGACAATAAATACTTAACTATCTGCCATGTGCATTCTTTTGGCTGAGAAGCACCCCTGACAATTATCTACTGATAAGGAGCCTCTGCTACAAAAAAAGAAGAATATTAATTCAGCCAGATGAGGTAAAAGTAGGACTCAAAGCAAGCTCTTAAAAAGCTAACAGCTCTGGGTGTGCTCCTCTTTCAGATAACGCACACACAAGATGATCAGTGCTTATTAATGCAGAGGCAATCAACATAATCAGGGCCTTGATTGCACAAGGATGGGAAGGAAGATGGTTTCTTGGTTAAAAGACGAATCCACCAGCTGAAGAACCATCTCCCCCTTTAGCTGATGTAGGGCTGAGTTTGGGTGGAAAGGACTGCACTATCAAATCGCTTAAAAACAAAATAATACAGTGGAAGAACATTTCCCCAAAGTGGGGCACCTGGCTTTGCAGATTCTTGTTGGTGGTTTGCAATACCAAAATCTGATATCAGAAAATATAAAAAAAGAGAATGAAGGATCAGTGTCCACAAATATTCCTAATATAGCCCAAATGATGAATTAATCACCACCACCACCACCACTCTTGGTGAATTTAGCTGTGCTGGTTTAAATCTTGATATCAGTGCCTCAACATTCACATAACGGGCTTAGAAATCCCAGAAGGTGGAAAAATCATAATGAACGGAGACTTCAACAAACATAAACATATTCCAGGGTGATCTGCATGCACACACATAGCATGTTAATGCCACGCACTGCTCCTTCTTTAGAAAAGTCAGGAGCTGCTGAGAACTTCTGGATCTATGCTCTGCTGCATGAAGCATTCCTGGGCCTAAGATGTCCTCCTGATTCCACAGTGGCTTCCTCTAGTTCTAGCAGCAACAGAAGCTCCTGAGTCTCACTTAGGTTTTGATCAGGCAGCAGTCTGCCTTGTTTCCCTGCCCACTTGCCTATCACCGGCTCCCCAAACTGCTTATGGCCCTGAACACAATGTGAAGGTACAAGATAGCATCTTGAAGCGTTTTAGGGTTGCACTTTGGATTCTCTAGCATGGAAGCACACCATGGTAAAGGAGCAGTTGAGGACAGGTGCTAAGTAGCTGCTGCCCAGCTGCCCACTGGAAAAATGGCTGTGCGAGCAAAGGGAAAGGGTCATTACAGCCAACTCATCATGTTTCTTGTAGGGACTTATTCTCCGCACAGAGCCTGAACTTTCCTACAAGCCCTTCTTTCCCAGATCTCCAGAAAATGAACCTGCACTCAAAAACAGGAATTCTAGAAAAGGTAAGCTTTCAGGTAGCCAGCCAGCCAATGTTAAATACCAAGAAATATTCAAGGTTTATTAACCTGAAGCAACCTGTAATCCTCCCTAAATAGGGACAGGAGACAGAGACAACACTCCTAATGAGCGATTATGCTGGGCACAAATAAATCTTTGGGTATACACAGGATTATGCATATCAACACGCCATGCGAAGCAACTGTCCCAACCCTGCTCCTGACGGTTTCTCGGGGGAGAAAAGGCAATTCTGTTCTTGTGCTAACCCTCTTTCTCTCTCCCCACGCTGCATTAACTGGCTGCTCAAATTTACTAAAGGGTAATTTTAAAACTAGCGTCCCAGGCCCCAAAAGAAGAGATGCAAGAGGTCTGTGAGATAAAGAGTCAAAATCTGATTCTCCTTTAAAGATGATGAGTTGTGTCTCTGGTGTTGAGCCTCTGAGGTTGCCGGCTGCATCTCTGCATTTTAGGGCTACAAATCCGGAGGAAGAGCACTGCAGAAGAGCATCTCTTACAGAAACATATGGCAATTCCTATCACCGCCTGCTTTTCTAATACCTTTCCACCATGCTGCCAGTTTTAATTCTGAAAAAGCCTGCCTCAGTGACTAATAATAATAATAATAATTTTTATTTATACCCCGCCCTCCCCAGCCAAGGCCGGGCTCAGAGCGGCTTACAAGCAATAATAAAAACAAGTTGAATGATTACAACTTAAAAACAAAATTAAAATACAACATTAAAATATTGAAACATTTAAATATTAAAATATAGCCTCCTCGCAGGAGGAGAAGGAAAAGAAAAAAGAAAGAGAGGGAGGGAATCAAATTGGCTCCAAGCCAAAGGCCAGGCGGAACAACTCTGTCTTACAGGCCCTGCGGAAAGAAATCAGATCCTGCAGGGCCCTGGTCTCATGAGACAGAGCGTTCCACCAGGCCGGAGCCAGTGTTGAAAAGGCCCTGGCTCTGGTTGAAGCCAATCTAACTTCCTTAGGGCCTGGGACCACTAGGGTGTTGCTATTTATGGACCTTGAGGCTCTCCGTGGCGCATACCAGGAGAGGCGGTCCCGTAGGTACGAGGGTCCTAGGCCGTGAAGGGCTTTAAAGGTCAAAACCAGCACCTTAAATCTGACCCTGTACTCCACCGGAAGCCAGTGCAGCTTGAAAAGCACTGGATGAATATGCTCCCATGGCAGAGACCCCGTGAGGAGCCTCGCTGCAGGATTCTGCACCCGCTGGAGTTTCTGAGACAGCTTCAAGGGCAGCCCCGCGTAGAGCGAATTACAGTAGTCAAGCCTGGAGATGACCGTTGCATGGATCACTGTGGCCAGGTTGGGGAAATCTGGGGAACACTGTGCTCAGCTCACACTCTTTGTGTGTTTGCACAGTCAGGTGCCACACCAAAATACAGTCTAGATGAAGGCCAAAGGATAGTCCAGAAGAGAAGAGATCCCCACAGTATACAGATGCCGTTCACAAGGACAAAATTCTGAATGCTGTATTAGCACAGAATTCCAAAGTGTGCAGATAACATGACACACTCATGAAACAAAGAGGGAAATGCTTAAAAGCTGCTTGCATTTAGCCTATATTTATTGAACTATAGCTCTGATTTGCTTGCACAAAGCTTACGTGGAGGTTAGATTGTTGCACATTCAGTTCCTACTCATTCAGTACTCATCCTAATTTGCTTGTGGAATGTCCACTTATTCTCCCCTCTGCCTTCAGCCTCCTGGTCTCTTATCTCCCTGTCCCTTAGCTTCACTACTCCTTGGGACCTCTTCTAAGTCTCTAGCCTGAATCTGTGAGAAGTTTTATTCCCAGCAAAAATGACAGCTTACCCTTTCCTCACAGTTGTTGGCCTGCAAGCTGCTTTGCTTCCTGAGCAATTGAACGTTCGAAGACATCACTCCTGCTCAGCCAGTCAGTAGCAGAGGCTTCTCCGCCATAAACTCAATACACTTCAGCTCTTTGACATAGTTTTTGTTTTCAAATATCACCACCAGACCCAAGTTCTCAGGAAGTGGTGAACGCAAAATTGAAATCAATGAATGAAAAAGAATTTGCTTGAGCACTCTGGTGAGTTTAGCTACACGCTACAACCTTAGCATCCAAACAGTTATTGCTAAGAGTAAAGTTTGCATTCTTTGCGGGCGGGGGAAGAGAAAGAAGAAGAGGAAAAACAAACCAGGAGAAGACAAAAATGACTGTGTCATATCTGACTGGTTTG